ATGTTTTATGATAAACATCAGACGTAGTTCAGGTAATAACAGTACGTTCCTGAAGTAAAACTGTAGTACTAAAATATAAATGCATTGTTTTGATAGATTTGAAGTTTTAGATTTAATTTATCAGCAGATGTAATCGATGTTTTATTTTATTTATTTTTTAAATACAATGAATAAAAAAATAAAAGTGAAAAAGGGTGTGTTTATTGTTGTTATTTAGGTTTTTATTAAAAAAAAAAAAAACATAACTACTTGGAGGTTTTTAAACCAAGCAAAACCAGGGCAAAGTCCTGTCATCCATGCTGTTTGGTGGTGTACGACACCCGAGGAAACTATTCCGGCATTCGCCTAAGGTGACCTAAGAAATATGGAATATCCATATTTTATTATTCAATACGCGTTAAATACCTGGAGGTAGGACAATTATTTATTAAATGAGTTTTTATTTAGTATAGATAATAAAGAAGAAAAATTAATTAATGGTGGACACAACCACATATTTTTTAAGCTCAAATACATTCACTATGTCAATTATTGTTACCAAACAACATGGAAGTTTTCTGGAATTAACATACCAAATACGACCATACAACCTGCTACAATGTAATACGTACTACACTACACAAGTATCTAAGCACGATTGTGTTTGGCTAGGCTGTACTCAATACGCATGGCCCTCTATAGTATAAACTCTAGATTTCTCAAGGACATTTTTACTTTAGTTTCTCATGGCTTGAATGGAAGGATTTCTATGTGATGGTAGGTAACATCATCTTCGCTTGAAAGAGCTATTTTTTTTTCTTGATGGGTACAATTTTTTTTAAGTTGTACAATGATATTCGTACAACTTAGCAGTGGCTCCTCAATCTGGATCTACACAATACTTAACCAAAGACCAATAGCGAATAGCGTAATTTAAACCTAAGCCTTCACTATAGCCTTCGGTATAGCCACTTGTCTAGTCGCGCCCCTATGAGCTGTGCAAACATCAATTACAATCATGCAGAAGTTCAAGTGCCCCACTCCCAGATTAAGCCCTATTATACACCAGGTAATTTATCCGTCTGAACTCGCTGGATATGTTTATGCCGCTGTTAAGTTCATTAGGTAGCTGTGAAATGTAACTGGAATTTATTAGAGTTCAATTGAAACGAGCGCAAGAACCGACAAGGTAGAGAGTTTGTCATACTCAGCGCCTGGCGAGCGTCATATTCAATTAGGCAAGTCTGGAAGCTGGAACCCCTGGAGTGATAATCAGAGTAGTTGAACTGGATTGCATTACTTAAAATATATGATCTGTCTTAGAAAATTGTGCTTTTTGATGAAAACCTCCAATGCAAGATACAAACTACTAGCCTAACTTCTACGGGAAAGTTTTGTACTCTGAACACACTGTATACAGTAAGTCATACAGGTGAGACAGCGGCAACCTTATCGTATAATTTCCATGTAGACAGCTGAACTCAAATTTTTCATTTTCAGTTTTTGGTTTATTTATTTACAGCATAAAGCTCATATACTTTAAAAAGTGTGTTAGATTGTCAGCCTAATATTAGACAAGTTAAATTCCACCAAAAATTTAATAAATATAAACTCTAGCTTGAAATTATACCTATGTCAGTTTTATTTCAACAACCCCTAAAAATTTAACAATATAATCATGCAACAATGCAACAAAGTAAGAAACAGCGATATGAACTTGTGATTCATTGCGCCCACTTAATGTCACCAAACAGATGTTTTTTCTCCCCTTAAGGGTAATACATTCACGAAATCACTACAAGACAAAAAAACACAAAGGCTTCTTTTAAGCCCTAAGCGGTGAATGTACAGTGAAATATGTGTTGTGGACATTTAGTGCGCTCTAAGTTGCCAATAAAGAAGGTGAGGTATGATTGGGAAAAGTCGACCAAAAGAAGTTTACCGTGCTGTAATGTGATTGTAAATCATGATCATATCCCATTGTTGACTATTTACTGCGAAACAAGAGTCTTTAAGGAGCTCTTGTTATATGAACGCCATTGGCTACCTGGCTGTCTAAACGTGAAGTAGGAATATTTTTAATATGAGTTTTAAATATAAATCAACTGTATACAAATCATGACAGCATGGTGTAGGCCTACTTATTACAGTTGTGTTTGCTTGATTTTTCATGTAATCGCTAGGTCCTTTTTAACGGTATTTGCTATAATGGGAATATCATTTGTGATTTTACATACGTAAAATAATATATAATTATCATAAAATGATATTATATAAACAGTGATAATATATTCTGTGGTTGTAGCAACAAAACATAGACAATTTACACTTTTTCTATTGAAATAATGTTTTAGTTACACCATTATTTGATGTTTTATTAACGTTTATTGATACTGTCAAAATTTGATGATCAAATTAAACCCTACGCCTTACCAAACAAATAACACCCCAGTAAAATTAAAGATTGTACTGTATGGAAATAGTCATGTCATACTATTATAGAAAAAGTTCACAGCCTAATACAATACTCTCCACGAAACGCCAATGAATTTTATAATAACCATAAGGAATAAGGAAAATTCAATAAAGTTATTAACATTGTTTTCAATTTTTTTTACCCTTTCGTAGCTCAAATACGTAAATTACATTTTTTCATTATCTATACAACATAAAACCACACCAAAGTTCTGTTTTTGATTCATAACCACATACTTGTTGGAAATAAATAGCTGTTGTCATTCCTCCCGCCATTTTCACAAGAGATATCTCAGTTGGCGGGAAGACACGGGTGTTTCTCATACGATACCCCATCAGCTGGTTAACACGTCAACGCGCAGTGGGGGACATCTCAGCTGGGAACACTTTAACTCGCCTAATAAATATTGATAGCTTATTTTGTAGCTCTTGGGTTTTGTTTGGCAAAATATTTGTGACCTGAGAATAGGATTATGTGATTAAAAATTCTGTTTTTAATTTTTAAATAAAGTTGTATGAAATGCAACTAAATAATTAATATAGGTAATTAATATAGGTTAAATAATTAAGAAATGCATTTAAAAAAATGATTGTAACTATTGTAAATTATGTTGTATCTAAATATTCTCATGATACACGGGCAATGGCATGTGAATAAGGAAATACTATGCAGTATTTTTGTCACAATCCGAATTAATTATGAGTGACTATATTAGTTTAATCATTTTTATTAGAAGCAGTATGTACGTATACCAGCTTTTATTTAAAATATGTGTAAGTCGTAAAAATATAAGCTTAAGAATGTTTCTTTTGGATGAAAACTATGTATATCGATCCGAAACAAAGCAAACAGAAATAACTACCTAGTGTTTTCCATAATGCGGCATGTAAAAAAATTTACATACTTTTTCATTGCCAGCTTCTAAGCTAAGCAGACTTTCGCTGTAACCGCACTCATTAGAATCGGAAGTGTCCAAATAGCCTTGATTTGTATCAAATGAGTCATCTCGAAAATGGCTCAGTTATCATATAATTTCATCCGAGATGTATGATTATCAACCATAATATTTTTGGAAATTTAAACATCTATTGCGGAACCTGTTGAAGAATGTTATCTGGACCTAATCGTTTCGGAATTCGAGGCCAGGATTTACAGGAGTCGAACGTGTCACATTTCTCACCTGATAAGACATCAGCTGTCCGCGCCCGGCGGGGAACCTCCTCCCTACCTCTCCACTCAGAGGTAACCTCTTGGGGAGAATTGGTGTGTGAGAATTGGTGTGTTTAACCAAAGAATTGGTTAAAGTGCAATGTCAATCTATTTTAAAGATACCAATTCTTTGTTCTACCTCTTCCAAACGTTCCATGTACATGTGATTGCTATTTGTTGTATCGAATATTTGATAATGATGATATACGGGAGGAAACAATTGTTCACTCTTCTCTACACCAAAGTATTACATTTTCCTCATTTTATTCTTGAAATGTTTCTTATAGTATACGTTTTCTAGCAATAAAATAATTTCTTAAAATTCTTACTGCCACTAGGTCTCTAAACATTTAAATTCCAAGTGTTTTTCTGCCACCTTCAATATGAAACGATTACAATTAACATTAATGAAATGATACGTGCATTTGATGAAAATAATATATTTACCACGTAGAAAAATAATTTAGTCTTCCGACTAGACATGTAATAAGTGTTTTGGAAACTATAGTTGTCCCTTCCGTAAGTCACAAGGCAATTCACAGGTTGAACCAATGGAATAGGGTAAATTAAAATATTCCCAAATCAACATTGATTAAATACGAGTTAATATGAGCTGTTAAATTTGTTTGACCATTTGATGACCCTCGGAGGTGTTAACTTATCTATTAACCTTCACCTACTACGGTGTACATATTTCAACTAATGTTTGTCAAGTATTAGGTTCTATTAAAAAAAATGTATTCCTAACCACATAAATAATTAATGTAGAATATATTGTTTCCCTTATCTTTAACACATTTCGACTCACGTGGACATATAAATCAGAGTAAATTCTCTATTTACTCACAAAATATTGAACGCTTATCGATCTACTCTTGATTCAAATATTCACATGAACACAAGTCATAACAAAATGCGTCACATTTTCCCCCAAAAGGAATCTTCAACGTTCACTGTGCAAATGACTATCAACATAATATCTTTATGATCACCTCTGATCGTGCCAGTTCAAGTGAGTTACAGACTCAGTAATGGTGTATGCGTTAAGTGAAGGCCTGTGAAGCGTGGGCCGGACGGACGACTCGACCACCCCGCCACTTGAGTTATGGTACAACCTCCCAATAAACTAACCCAATGACACTCTAAGTGGATTAATGGGGATAGCCAGATATATCTCTGATTGGTGGCTCGCGCCAGGCGTGAGGTATGGGTGACCTTGGGAAGGTGATGTGGAGTTGCAAACCTGCCTGGAGGCTATAGCAGCCGTGGCGAGGAGAACATTGGAGGCTATAGCAGCTTTGGTGTGGAGAACAGTGGAGGCTATGGAAGCTTTGGTATGGAGAACAGTGGAGGCTATAGCAGCTTTGGTGTGGAGAACAGTGGAGGCTATGGAAGCTTTGGTATGGATAACAGTGGAGGCTATGGCAGCTTTGGTGTGGAGAACAGTGGAGGGCATAGAAGCATTGGTATAGAGAACAGTGAAGAGTATGGAAGATTTTACGGGGAGAACAGTGGAGGCTATAGCAGCCGTGGCGAGGAGAACATTGGAGGCTATAGCAGCTTTGCTGTGGAGAACATTGGAGGCTATAGCAGCTTTGGTGTGGAGAACAGTGGAGGCTATGGCAGCTTTGGTGTGGAGAACAGTGGAGGCTATGACAGCTTTGGTGTGGAGAACAGTGGAGGACATAGAAGCATTGGTATAGAGAACAGTGAAGAGTATGGAAGATTTTACGGGGAGAACAGTGGAGGCTATACCAGCTTTGGTTTGGAGACCAGTGGAGGCTATACCGGCTTTGGCGTGGAGACCAGTTAGTCTATACAATTTTTGACCTGAATACCTGTTGAAAATATGAGAAATTAATGTTGAATGTAAGATGAAGGAATTTTCTTGGGTGAGAAACTGTGCAAAAGCTACAGTAGGCACATGTTTTGTGGTCTTGTGAAGAAGCTTAGGGAGTGCTAATGTTTAAAGACATGTTTGGACGCTATGAGAACTACATTTTCAGTGGGTTTCTGTAGATATAATGGCAAATATGCAGTGTCAATACATAGCCATGTAAGGCTATACGAACTATATTTTACAGCCTAATCGTACCAAACTTTGATATTGTACTTTAAGTGTAAAATAGTTAACGGCCTGTGTAAATACCAGTTATAAGGAGAATCAGTCCCTCCCCCTTAAGTATACCCATTGTAAATAGAAGGGTTGGGGGGTTTTATACGTAACTCATTTAAAACAAGTTTATTGAAAGTACTCGACCTAAAATCACAATCGACCGAACTTTAACAATTGCAATTTTTTAATATTAAGTAAAGCCGAAGGTGTCATAGTTCAAAATAATTGTTAGAGGTTTACAATGATAGAATACTTAAATTCCTTGACCAAGCTTTCTCTAACATCCCCTTCAAAGCTAGTTTAAACTGTGTTGAGATTAATCAAGTTTTAACGCCACCACAAGGAGAATGTTCAGGATATTAATCACTCTGGATCACCGCTTCATCACCCAGTTCTGGTTATCTACATTAATCCATTTAGTGAGGCATTGTTTTACTATATTAGCCGCCTTCTTGATGTCGTTTGTCTTCTATAGTGTCAGACCTCACAAGTCGCCGCCTACGACATGACAGAGATATGCAGATAACGTTGATAACAGCTTGTCATACCGAGCTCATGAGGGGAAAGTAAGACTTTTTTTATTTTAATCGGGACAAATATTAACCTTGTTAATTATTGATGGACGATATTTTGATCAAATCAACCAATCTTGAATTGCTATTACCTATGTGATAATTTATTGACCCAGTGGTTTGGAGCTAATCCATAATTAATCCTATCAGGAAAACTAAAAGTATAGGTATTTTAATGAAGAAATGCTCCGTCCTCTAATAGCGATACAATACTATGAAAAAAGGTGTGCTGCTCCTTGAAAAGTGTCTCATAATCTATGCATTCAAAATAGCGTATTCCATATTTTTAATAATTTTTTTAATAATTTTGTGGTATTTTATTACTGTACAATTTGTTGTAAAACATATTGTATAACTGTAGCACTTGTAATGCAATGAATGGCCATTTCACTGTATTTATTTTGACTATTTTAACCATCCCTAAAAGCTAAGTTCAAGTTGTAAGATTTGTAGAAAAACAATAACCTGACCTTAAAACTCATACAATTTGGCAAAATGAAAGTTTTGCATTCCCTCTTAGTAAGAATCTATTACCAACTACAGTTTGTCCTAATAAATATATCTGCAAGTTCCATGAATTTGAATTTTACGACCCTAACGACATAAGTCTATGAATAGAAAATAATTGGTTGACCTTTCGAGTCCCGTTCCCATATTGAATTGTAACAAAAAATGACACCCGGGTCGGGGCGGCGCTGTAATGTAATTAAATTAAGATTCAATTTCCACTCTTGGCACGTTGTGCCCCAAGCCCTCACGAGAAACGGGTAATTGACGTCGTCCTGGCGTGTGTATAATCAGCTGATCAACAATGGGACTCACACTCAGTCAGCTGATCAGTCTGCTACTTGTACGTCACAATAAACGATAGCATACAGCATAAGTGTATTCTTCCAACATGCTGTTAATCAGCTACAGCTGATAAACTGTCGATTGTAGGTTACAAGTAAAATAAAGGAAGCATGTGTAATAAGGTTGTATTGATACAGCACAGTGAGAATCAGAAAACCAATAATGGAGCCTCATCCAGCTGATAGAATGCTATTCGTAGGTCACAATCAATAAAAAAATACAATGAGATTTTGTGATAAATTTGTGATCAACAACGGAAAAAGGTCTAAAGAAAATGTTGTAACAGAGCCACAACACAAAATATTGAACTGACCAATACTGGAGTTACCATCAACACATACCAAAAATGAGAATGCACATTAACTAAGCTTCTTTGCATCACACAACAACACACTTGCCTAATAAAGTAATGGTTTAAAAAATAAATCTGGAACCACCATATGGTTTGTATGTATTCTAAAGTAAATGAACACAAATCTTAAATTAATTTCCATTGTTTAGTACTGCTTTAAAATGTTTTTATCCAATTTTATAGGTTAAGCGCAATACGTCTGTTTCCAAATGTAAAATAAAAAGACGCAAAATCTCTTGGTTTGCGTGAGGTCCTTCATTATCAAGGAAACTTCCAAACTCTGTCAGCTAACAAGTGTCTTGAGATAGCAACTCGAGCGAGACAAATGTCTCTTCGGAAGGACGATAAGGAGATCTACTAATGAAGAAAAACTCAGACTCAAACACCGACCTCTGGTAATATTGTCCCCAGTTTACTCTTCGTGTCTTAATTAGAGCGACATATGTTAGCGACAATCTTCGATCTACGGAAACGAACAAATTTAGGTGTAAAGATCCACAGACAACATCTCCGCTGCTACTTTATAAGCGGACTGATAGTGCTTTCAGATCTCCCATCAGTTGTTAGTCGAACAGGTCTTTGACTTTCTTGTAAACAAATCGGAATCGGTTTAGCTAAGAGGTTTAACGGCCAGGTTGACAGTAAAGGATTAGAATCATGTGTTAGATTTGAAAACTCACGAGATCAAAGGTTGGTTGTCACCAGTGTTTAGTCCCGTATGTAGCATCGTATATCGTGTTGATAAAAGAACATGTCTTACTCCATGGCAGAATATAACTGCGAATATTGTGTAGAACATGTTAAATAGTAGTTACCGAAAGAATTGGTCAAAACAAAAATGTTTAAGTAAAAGATTAAAATAGAACTTTCGAAATAGGAGATTAGGACATAATACAAATCTACACTTCTTGGTCGTAATACGCGTAATTCTAATAAAAATTATATTTTCTATGCATGAGGCCCGTACCTGATACTGTATGTGATTGTTGGTATTTAACACAGATAGTAAGTTATAGTAGAGAATCATGACCATTTTTGAGTTTACCGAGTGAGCTATACTTATTGCTGGTCACACGCCAAATGATTTGAAATATTTCAAATGACATGGTTGAAGTCTGGTAACAGAGATGTTCATTATCAGTAAGAAAAATCAGATACAGACTTAAAACTGTGGATAGAACTAGAGAATACTCAGATTTTATAATTATTTTACAATATTGTGACCCTTTTATATGGTCCTCTTTGATATTGAGTAAAAGGGATATTATTAAGGAATATTAAGGAATGTTATTGAGTAGTTTAGTAGTTTACAAGAAAGCTTGGAAATACTGTAGTAACCAAAATATGATTCTCTCTAGCAAGCATATAAATATACTGCATAGTGAAGTATGTTACCGAAAAGAAATCTAAGTACTTTGCCAAAGTCTAATGATAAAACTCGAGATCTGTATTTTTAGAAGTCATTGAACCACACATAAAAATCTCCCAATCTTTCAAACACTATTCCCTTCATAGCCAAAACTAATTTCACCTAACACCCCGTGATGCAAATTTAAATCCGTCGGACAAGGCGTTAAACAACTTTCAGTAAACGGCGCCAACGCTCAACACTGTCATTCTCTTATATAGCCTCTAATTTAGAGTAAATATTAGCAGAGAAAATCAAAAACAGGTTCAGGGTAGTTTGGAGCGCCTTTCTGTTGGCCGTCATCACCCCAAGTTGGATGATTGTTTATCGGCCAAAAGTGACGGTTTTGGGCGCCTCGGCGACTTGTCGAGGCGGGAATTACGGTGCGAACGAGGCAATCATATTTTACCTAAACTAGAATACTTAGTGCGGGTAACGACCGTTTTAATGCAAATCGGGGCCACCATTTATTGCCTAATATCTCAACCTAATTGGGGCAGACAGACAGGTTTATGAGCCCTCGCCGTCCGTTCAAAGTGATAAATCGGTTAACTGTCATTAAAAATAATTTACCATAGGAATACATTGGACAGCCTTACTTAATAAACAAACCTTCATTGAATACGAATCTGCATTTCAAATGGTCGATAAGACCGACGTTGGTAATGTTACGTTTGTTGTAGGAGGAATGATGTAGTGGACGGTGCCCGGTAGGTTATTGGTTGTGCCAATTTCGAGATTCACTAGGTGATGTATGGTTGTTGAACACCCCGTGAGGCGTTGAGAAGCTGCTTGTGTTTGTTTTGCGTACATTTTGTTTAACTGACAGGACACGAGTTACTGAAATGGGTTTTTAAAAATGTATGTTTGCATCCCCGTATCCAACTCATAAATAATTTAAAAGTTTAACATTTTAATTATGTCAACAGCCTTACTAGAGCGGTGTAGGTAAAAAAAAAATAAATAAATAAATAATGCCAGAAACGGTGCGAGACCTGTGGGCTTAGGTCACATGTTGGCCTGACTTGAAGTAATGTGACAAACAATTCCAGGTCTGTGTCCAACATAGCAGAGGGGGTTTTTTACTGAGTAGTCTGATAAATTCTGGAGTCTCACACTACAGGCTGGCTACCTGTGTGCGTAAAAGCATTTTCCCTCCTCACCAAAAAAAAAAAATAAATGATGTCAACAAGTATTTTTTTAATTAATTAAATTTACTAGAATGAAGCCAAATAAAAAGAAGTACTCTAGTTGAAAATATATCAAATAAGTGATGATAAGAAACTAAAGTGGAAAAGATTGTCAGTTATATAAGTACATGTGTGGACACCCTATTCATTTTACCGTTATACTTGAATTAATTTGTATCATGCTGCTCTTTCACTTCTTAAATACTTACTCCTTAAATATTTGTGATTACAAAATTAAGTAGAATCAAATAACTGATAAAAACAAGAACCTTGTTGGATGTATAATCACACCTAAAGGGTTTTTCTTATTCGTAATTTTTCAC